AAAGGAACGCTTTCGACTTAATTTGTTGTAACAAGTAAATTGAAGCACACCATCTCCAGTTGACCGAACTGAACGTCTGTAATTTATCGGGTGTTTTCGGATATTTTGGTCACTTTGACACTTTTGGTGTCAAAATTCCGTTCATCCGTTCTGACATAACCTACGTTTAATATATCCGGCGAAACCTTCTAGCACATGCGGGGCACTTGCAAGAGTTTGCGTTTTAGCACCCTGCGTGCGTCCCTACTCCCACGAACTCGGAGATGACTTTCGCGTGCAGGATTTTTAGCAGTGTATGGGTGCGGGCATCGTCGCGGAGGACAGCTGGGTACCTCACCCTCCGAAAAAGCTTCCCGACTGGTGACACCCCCAGAGTTCAATGTCATCTCAGGAAGCTTTGGTGTAGCAGGTTGTCGATGTGATGGAACGATGAGGCGGAAAATGTGAATGATGATGAAAATGATGAGGCGGCGCCGAAACGCACCGGCCGCCAACGATGTACGGTGCCCATCGAACCCCACCTGGAGCTCCTCTCCCTTTCACCCCACTTACGAACTCTGACGTGATAATGCGCTGGGCTGGTTTGAGCCGCCAGGAATCGACGCTCAACACTCAGATATGTTTTCCTTGCTCCGATCACTTTGGTCGCATGGATGTTTGTAATCAGACACCACGCAAAGCAGTGCTTGTTATGCGATCACTCTGCCCACCAAAAATGGTAAAATTCCAGTTCACTGGCAGAATTTTGTGACCGGAATGCTCACCGTAACGCTGGCAATGTTCGGCCTTGTCCACCCCGTCGTCTGATCACATCTGACCTTTAGCGACCGCTGCCACCCGTCGCGGGCTATCCCGTCCAGACAGGTGGTTAGTTTCGCGACGTGAGTAAGGGAGAGGGCTGATCAGGGCAGAAATGACTTAGTTCTAACATACGCCAAACAAGCGAGCCCGCTTATCGGCTTTGGCCCACTTACTTTTCAAAGTTGGGGGGCTGGAACCCCGTCCCCCAAGAGGGAACGGGAACTACACCCCCGGATCCAGGTGCAAATAGCAGCGTTAAAGCGACTCGAGCTCGCCTACCTCGCCACGGCGTGGGTAGATTGGGGGGGGGGGGGGGGCGCACTAACCGGATCAGCCACGGGGCGACCTAATTGCGATATATACATCTTGCCTATTGTGTGGGTTGCGCGCATTATATTGGTACGTTTAGCAAGACATTTTTGCTTAGGTATAGACCATTAAAGGGCGGCGGTATTTGTGCTTTTGATTGTTTCTGACTAGTTCTTCAATTTAGGCTTCAATTCGTTTTCCTTTTTCTTGCACCTGGGCACCTGGTCTCTACCAACATTTGTTTTGAATTCTGCCGTAAATGCTTTCTTTTTGCCGCCGGATCACGTAGACTAAGATTGCTATAAAGTCTGCACAGCGAGGAGGACAGCTGCCCCTTCCCCAGGGGGCACAGTTCCCCTCCTCTGCGGGTATGCAGAAGGCGCAAAAGGATGTCTCTGCCAACTCAAAATTTTAACAAGGAGCCTGCCATTTGTTTTTTAAGAAGGTACAAAACCTTTCCAAAAGGCTTTATACCTAGCGTAGACGAACAAAGTTGACATCACGCAGTATTCCTAGCTGCCAAAAAAACTACGGGCAGTTATGACTTGGTCACAATGTTCGGAGTGGACATATTACACTCATATGCTTACCGTTCGCCACAAACCGATCGACAGGGATCTTCTCCAAGGTCCAGCCGCCCCTGAAGACGTGCACGGGCGCGTCCATGTGGGTGCCGCCATGCTCCGCTGTCGCGAAGTTGTGCATCTCCAGCCTGCCAAACGGGGGCGGAAGGGGGGGGGGGTGAGACGGCACGCGAACGATCCGGTTCGGTTCAGGGAGTGACAGGCGGCACGCTTACATGCGGCCTTCCACCAAACACCGCAGCTGCGTGGCGGTGTTAGCGGGCCACGGGTACGGCCTCAGGTGGGAATCGAAGCCCCGTTTCCCCGCGTGAACATCTGAGGCATTTCCGACCGCTAACTACGCCACCTGTCACATCGAACGCGCGTAGAAGAGACGTCCAACGCGGAGTAAGAGAGTATTTTTGTCACCGACCGAATTTCTGCAGGGAAAATTGCTGCCAACAGCGTAATGCGATACCAGATGACGTGACATGACAAAGAAGTCCTGTCTCGTAGCGCCATTAGGAATCGGTGCATCACCGAAAGCCTTTGTCATCTTCACAATTTCAATGTCATGCATACAGCCGAAACACTCATCTATACATGATCATTTGAAAAATGCTGCCGCTGCTAGGAATGCCGGCACACTGGCTCTACACTATGGAATACGTTGCTATACAGAGTGCCTAAAGTGGCCGATGCCCACGTTGGCCTACTTAGCCGTAAATGGCCTTAGGGTGGAAAATGGGACCTAACGAATAGGCACAGGATGGGATATTTCCATTAAGCATGGCCACTTTTCTTCGCGCTGCATGTAACAAAAGAAGTTATATTTTCGTACACCTTCACAATCCCTGGGGCTTACTTGTTGCGAGGTGAGGGAAAAAGTGAACGCTGCCCCCTGTCATGTCCAGATAATGTTGATGTCTGATACTGGCATACTGTTACTGTTGATCTGACAGGCTGCCGGATTCGATGGGGACCCCGGCAGCCTGTCAGAAATTTGATTGGCCGGAGAACTGCTTGGGGCCAAAGTGGTCCATCCATGAGAGCAAGGTCCTGGTCCGTTAAGAGCAAGGTCCTGAGCAGCAAGAGTGGTACTAAGCATCAGGCAGCCCAAGGCAATTACTAAACCCAAAGTGTCCAGAGTGCCCCTGGCCGGTCAGGGGGTCCAACGATCAGCCAGAAGGGCTCCTGGGTGATGAAATGGGCCTCCCAGGCGCCAAAGGGGCCCTAAACATTTAAGAAGACCCCTAATTGTCTAGAGGGTTTTAAGAAAAACCAAATATCTCAGGCGATGAAATAGGCTACTGTTTCCTCCGAGTCCTCAACAGCGAGACGGGAGCCCAGGTGGTCAGAAGGGCTCCCAAGCAATGGGAGCTGCATCGGCAACCGGAGATGCCTTGGGCTACCAGTAAGCAGAAGGGCTCCCAAGCAATGGGAGATGCATCGGCGACCAGAGATGCCTTGGGCTGCCAGTAAACAGAAGGGCTTCCAAGCAATGGGAGATGCATCGGCGACCAGAGATGCCTTGGGCGGCCAGTAAACTGAGGGGCTCCCAAGCAATGGGAGGTGCATCGGCGGCCAGGAATGCCTTGGGCGGCCAGCAAACTGAAGGGCTCCCAAGCAATGGGAGGTGCATCGGCGACCGGAGATGCCTTGGGCTGCCAGTGAAGCCACTGATCAGTAACATCAGTCCAGCCCAAATAAATTGTCAACCAGGATAATTGCACCGTATGCTTTATATCGATGAAAATGAAGGAAAGGAACACTGAGGGCACTTGGTACAATTGATGAGACCTGACATGAATTGCTGGAACTGCATAAAACAGCTCATTTAACTCGTGCGTAGACACAGTGTTATGCAGGTGATGCACCCTTGCAAAGTGTATCAGAAAAATAAATGTATGATAGATCATTAACAAAGTGATATAAAACGAAACAATATGAACAGCCAAAAATGAGTATTTACGGAGAACTTAAGGAGGAGAGGTAACCAAAGCTTTGACAGAAACTACAGCCCACAAAATCGGTCGATTTTGTGATCCTCTTTTCAATCGCGATTCCAGATTCCAACCTTTTTTAGCTAGAATCAATTCAGCTCCTGTGTAGGTCAATCAAATGTATTTGCCAATCGCAATGGAAGCAGCTGCCACCAGATAACGGCTGCGATAACCAGAACACGATCCACTCACCAGAAGCCGTCCAGCTGTCCTTTGAACACTTCGCTCAGGTTGAACTTGAGGTTGCCCGGCCAGTACTGTGTGGTCTTGTCGTATGTGTGGCTGAGGTCGATCCACGGGCCGGCCGAGGCCGGACAGAGCAGGACCAGCAGGAGAGAGGAGCCGAGCAGAAGCCCGGCTGGACAGGCGGAACTCATCTGCCGACGGTGCAACCAGATGCAATCATCACCATTGTCCAATATCTTAGCCACCGGTACGGCAATACTGCAATACTAGACAGGCAGGGGTGTGCTAGCCAACGTATTTCAAAGAATGTACTACATACAATTTCCACGCGCAACAAGGGACCATTTATGCTTTTCCTTCCTGCAGTGTATAATTCCACTCACAACATATTGTCAACTACACTTATACACGCGTGCACACGCTACGCATGTGTGCTACACAATAAACACTACAGCAACTCTGCAGACCAACCCAGTGCCTAGCGCACAAAGTCTTCACGCTCTCAACACAAGGGCGAGAACCATTCTTCGATAACCCAAATAGCTGACGAAAATTGACCCTTGTCCTGATATGCCAGTTGTCATAACGTGGACTGTTAGAGGGAGTGGGGGGAGGGGCGTCGATGCAAACCGTCCTTTTTGTCGTTTCCAAACCAATAAAGATAGAGCGTGGCGTTGCCAGAAAAAGCAGTGGATTGGTCTCGACAAGATATCGTGATCGGTAATGATTTGCATATGGCCAGGTCAACAACTTACCCTATTTTGCCTAGATTAAAGGTCAAATTTTACCCCCCCCAAAATCAAGTTTTCACTTAAATGTTAACATATACGAGAACAAGTATCACAGAGACACAACAGTTGTGTTGATTGAAAAATATTCGTTGCTATGTTCAGCGCCGAAGTGGCATGTGGTTAAAATCTTGGATAGCCAAACTGGTATGAAAAGCACGATACGTATCCGTAACAACATTCTTGCAGCCGAGACAGTCAAGTAAACAATTGATGAATCTCGGTGTGTTTCATACCAGTGGCAATACGCTCCAATAATGAAATTTGCTCCACCCCCGAGTGTAGCTTGTTTTGCCACGGCCAGTGACAAGCCTCGATGGTGCGGACCCACGGACCGTTACTTGTGCAAGTCTCTGGCAGCAGGTGTGCCAGTGTGAACCTGGTTCATGGTTGGCTACGTTCTCGTGTCAGCAGCCAATTATTCAGTCTTTCGTGGCGACATTTGTGCCTTGTAACAACAGACCATTCACTGCTATTACAGCTTTCCTCCACATGTCTCCCATTACTGTGCTGTGCTTAACGGCGCTATTTACGATCAACGCTCAGCGTGGGGTGCTGGCCGGCTCCTGCAAAGACGCAAGGGGAAACGAAAGTTTCCCTAAGTTGGGAGTGGGGAAGGGCGATAGCCATTTTAGATATTTCTCTTCACTCAACCCCCAGGGTGTCAATACTAGATTTTTAGATAGTTGAGGCTCATCCCCTTCCTAGTGCCCCCACCCTGCCGTGGGCACTTCATTTTCCACACCGATTCAATTGTAACGGCCTTGCTAAAGACAAGCTCGCAAAGCACATGATCATGCGTGCCGTGTTGTTCTACCTGATGGGCTGGCGGACATATGCATTTACCAGAACTAATTTCCAGGTCGCACACTTCCAGCAGCTCGCGCATACACGCTTTCGCTTTCCACGCTGATTGCATTTTAGCCGCTGGGCATATAAACTCGCAATTTGTACATCATCATGCTTACCATTGAGTGCAACGCCTTCGGCTCCCTACTTATGTGCACCTCTCTCAACAATTTCTGTATTATTGTTACGAAGGCGCTCCTTTATCCCGACCGGCCATCCATGTGGCAGTTCTCGCGGAAGCGCGTGAAGATTCCACGCCACACTTATTGTAAGGGTTTGCCGAACGAGCTTAGGAAGCACATCATCGTATTCCACGTTAAATTTGACACAATTGGCCAGGGGCAGATCTAGGCTTGAGTTTTTTTGGGGGGGACAACCGTTAGTCACCAGCTGGCTGGTGTGGGATCCAAGGTCCAGTAAATGGTGCCTCTCGCGAGTACCTAGTAGGGACATCATTGAAAACTTGAAAAAGCACCGAAATGCTTTTGAATCTTAAACAGAAATTAAAACAAAACAGTTAAACAGCTAAAGTTAAAACAGACGGTAAGTGGAAGAAACTTTTATAAAGTTCTGGGAATGTTTTGGGCGGCCAAAACACACTCTCAGAGGTTTGGGGGGGTGGGGCCACGGACCCGGGCCCACCCCCCCCCCCTCCCCCAAGATCCTCCTAGGCAATTGGCTTGCTGGATCTATGCACCTCCCTCAACCATTTCTTCAATATCGTTGACAAGAGAGCGCGATGTTCAGTTCATCCTGTCTCGTAGAATCATTGGTGTACGTTTTCACTTTTAATTTCATTGCATTTCAATTTCGCCGCATAGGATCTCACGCTACATCATCACACTCGCCATGAAATTCTACGCAATCGGCTCGCTAGTCATATGCATCTCTACACACAGTTTGTTTACAATTTGTACGAACACTTGCGAAGTTCCGGCTGATTTTGTGGCAAAGGCCATACACGGCACCCATCTGTGTCCCAACGCCTTCAAGGCTTCCAAAGGATCAGCGGTCAGGTAATGAAGATATCATGGGCTTACCGTTAGTGCTGGCGCTTACGTTCAATACCCGATGGGTTATTTCAAATATTTAATCAAGTTCCTGGCTGTACGAATACTCGCAGGGTATGCAAGTTCCCTGAGCCGTGCTTTTGTTGTGAGCATCTGTCCGTTAGGGAGGTCTTCAACGCTCAGCAGGACTTGCCGATATCAGGGACTTACCATCGTCGAAATGTCGGGTTGCGTTAATTCTTTAAGCTATGATATAGAATGTTTAATCACTTTTCTGTTGGCGAGGCTACCCCTCGCACAAGATCTCTGAGACGTGTTCTTGCTGTAATCTCCTCTCAGTGACTGCACCCGGCGCCCGAAAGCTCCCTTTATAAGAATGCACAACCGGGTATGCGACTAGCGCAGGGGCGCATTTGATCATAGCGTGGTTGCGGGGAGACCGAAGGTCGGTTGGTCTAATTCGAGGGTAAATAAATGCGCACAACGCAATTTTCGAGGTCAACAAAACTGGCAATTGCATAAGAAAATTTGGATCGGAGTGGTCCAAACAGTGAGCATCACAATTATTGCAGATGTTGGCTGTCGGAAATTTCCGCTGGGCTTGCCTCCGCGGCCGCTGGCTGGATCGGAGCGCAGCCTTCGTGAGCAACCATATGGCGACGTTGGACGCCGGGATCACTCAGAACGCAAGCGGAAAGCTAGTAGTAGTAGTAAGCTAGTATTAGTGGTAGTAGGTATTCTTTCACAATAACGGACGCGGGGATTTTATTCAGAGCGTATGTGAGAAGCTCTGTAGGTGTTCTTTCGTAATATTGGACACGGTATTTTAGTCAGCGCGCACGTGGAAAGTTCTGTGGGCGATGTTTCATGATATTAGACGCCAGGATTTGAGCTCTCGGTGAAATCAAAGCGAACGTGGGGAGCTCGTCCAAGGGAGTGTGGTCTAGACATCGCAATGAGAACACGTATGATCAGCTGCGTAATAATGACTAAATCTCAACATAAAAAACAAGCCTTAATGTGTATCAAGATTTCGGCATCATCGGCACCATGTATGGGTTGTTGTCTACGGATTCCCAAAATATTTGTTTAAATTAAACTTAAATTTTAAGTATGTCCGCGAGATTGAAGGAAAGGCGAGTTTCTGTCGAACGGTGTCACCCGTTTTTGTAAAATCGCCTTCCGTTGACCTGAGTTTCCGAGTGCTCTGATGTTTTCCTAGACGATCGAATTTATCAGGCAACCCCAAAAGGCTGCCACCATCAATGCGCCGCTTATATCATGAACGCACCGTAAGCATGCGCGAATGGTCCTTCGACCAAGGAGCTCATCAGTGCTGGCAACAGATCCTGCACACCACATCCTCCGGCCATTATGTAAACAATGTATTTTATATCAAGTGCATGATTAATTGTGGTTTATGAGGGGAGCCTACCTGTCCTACCTACGCTTGCCAGCTCATGTCAATCTGCCAAAACCTCCACGTTTCCTGGATTTTTTTCCACATTTCACCGCGATTTTCAATGACTGCGCCATCGATGGTGCATGTCAGAAATGCTCATATCGGCTGGATGATTCTCCCGCTCTTGGGAGTTTCAGCCTCAGTGCCAAAAAATTGCGTTTAGGTAGCGAATCCCGGTGATTGGTGAGGCACACTGCTCCCGCCCCAGAATGACCCATGACAGCATGGGTGGTTTTGGCTACTACCGGTGCCAGGGAAATGACGCGAATCACAGGTGTATGCCTCGCCTTTCTTAGCATAGCACAAAAACAAATATCTCAAACGTAGTGGCCCTCCGATTTCACTCATTCGTCTTATTTTCCTCACTCGCCGTTTCCTCCTGCATCCTCGCACGCCTCGTCCGTTGGGAGTATGTTGCGCCGCCAGTCGCGAGCCAGCCTCACGGCCGCCCTGATGTAAATCCTTCCCTAGCGTCTGCACCCATCCCAGGGTCGGCCCCCTAGGGGCGCACATATTACATTGTCGGGAGCGTGACAGCCAACGACTCCGCAGTACTGCCTCACCTGTCTTTCTAAATCCTGAGCTCTGAAGTGGTAAATTATGCCAAACAAGCTAAGTAATGAGAGCTTATGCGGTACACTATGCATATATGTAGCAATCATGCACATCTGGGAGTGATAATGTGCGTGCTAGTAACGACGAGCGGGCGTGTTGTATTCTTCATCCTTCTTTGTTGTCTTTTCCATAATTGCAAGCAGTCCAAACGAGACATGGGCCGCTGTTTTAATTGATGCTGTTTTGCGTGGCCGCAGGCATATCCATGTCAGATCGTTACTGACGGCAGTATGTGACATAGGCCAGTCCAGATCTGAACGTTCCAGATACAGCGAGGCTAGCGCCACTGCTATGAAGCGGTACGTGTAGACAAAGATACAGCGAAGCTAGCGCCACAGCTGTAGAGCGAAACACGTAGACAAAGATGCAGCGAAGCAAGCGCCACCGCTGTAAAACGGCACGTGTAGACACAGATACAGCGAAGGTAGCGCCACCGTTGTAGAGCGGTACATAGAAATACAGATAAA